ATAGGAGATGAGAACTGATGGTGACGAAAGGTGTAGCAGAAATTGGTGAAACGCATGCACAAGCCAAACAATTGGTATGTGTGTAAAACACACACACATACACACACACATACACACACACACATACACACACATATACACACACACACACATACACACACACACACACACACACACACACACACACACACACACACTGACAAACACTCACTTGCATATAGGGCAGACCCAAGAATTGTGGTCACTATTGATTTTCAAATAACTTTCTAGGTCAAAACACTGCAGGTGTGTGGATGTGTGGGTGGGCGAGTGAGTGAGTGAGTGAGTGAGTGAGTGAGTGAGTGAGTGAGTGAGTGAGTGAGTGAGTGAGTGAGTGAGTGAGTGAGTGAGTGAGTGAGTGAGTGAATGAATGATGCGATGACGGTTAGTTTGTATTATAATAACGATGATATTATGGGTGGTTATAGTATGATAATGGCACGTGTGTGTGTTTGCGTGTGTGTGTATGTATGTGTATATGGTGTGTGTGTGTGTGTGCGTGACGAACCTGTATGTGGTGGCAGTCGTGACCGCGCGCTGGAAGTTGTATGCGATTCATGGTAATGGGGCAGGTGAGTGCAAGTTTTATTGTCATGTTCTCATTGCCAACGAACGCTCGCTTGGCTGTTCATAAAATTTGTTCGCCACAATTAGTTCATCATCGTCACGTGTTTGTTTGTTCGTTTGTTTGTTCGTTCGTTTGTTCGTTTATGGTTTGTTTGTCTGTAATGAGTTGTTCATGTCTTTGTTCGTTTTCTGTCATGCTTTATCATGTCTTTAGATGAATCCTTAATTGTCAGTAGGTATATAAAATATTTGCACAAACACATGCATATAGATGACTTCGATAAGAATGAAAATCTATTTTAATCAAAGTAAATGTTCCATTTGTAACAACACATTCATGGCCTCTCTTCCATTCCTCAAACTTATCAACACCCAATAAAAACAACAAACAAACAAACAAACAAACAAACAAACGAACACAAATAAAACAACAAAAATACAAACATAACGAATGGTAAACAAACAAGCAGATACAAACCAACAAACAAACAAACATACAAACAGATAAAAACAAATAAGTGAAAAAATAGAGAAACGATCTAACTCTTTGTGATTCCGTGCTCAGATGGTAGTAACCTCTTCGTCAGCAAGTTCTGTAGCACTGATCTCAAGGTCGGTCGATGAACGATTTGAACGACAAACAGATGAGACTGCATGTGTATGTGTGTGTGTGTGTGTGAGTGTGTGTGTGTGTGAATGCGTGTGAGTGTGTGTCTGTGTGTATGTCTGTGTGTGTGTCTGTGTGTAGGTGTCTGTGTGTGTATTTGTATTGGTTTGTGTGTTTAAGTGAGTTGATATTCAAGATTGAGCTTAATGTATATAAGGATACGTGTATATTTGTGTATAAATATTTAATAAACATTAAATATATAATAAACGTAGTTAAATGAAGAAATAAATTTAATATGAGATAGATATATGATAAGATAGATACATGATTAGATAGATACATGATTAGATAGATACAAGATTAGATAGATATATGATTAGATAGATACAAGATTGTGATATTTTGCTGAATAAAAAATTGTTTCATAAAAAAAGATTAGATAGAAAAAATACGGAAGGATCGAGTTGTATAACCAACATGCTTTTTTCATTGTTGATAAATAGATAAGATAACAACAGCAACAAAAACCAGCAACACCATAAACAAACGCCACTACAACCAGCCACCGCTCGCTATCGCCACGACCACCGACAGCCACAACTTACACAGCAGCAAGCTGAAACAGCTATCTGCAACATGTTGGTCTCCACTTGGCAGAAATTTTTAAGGAGGAGTGGCTGGTGGGAGCTGTTCGTCTCGTCCCCTCGGTCGATGACCATGGGGATAGAGTTGATGGTGATGTTCAGTGTCGTCGGCCAGTTGGTCATCATTAGACGGTCCTCGTTGTGGTAGCATTTCAGTTGAAGTTCAAGGTCTGGTCTGTTGAAGGTGTAGGTGGGTCAGTGAATGTGGGCGGAGTTTTGAATGAGTGGCAGGTTTAATATCATACAATTTTCATTCATTAATAATAATTTAATAACTGTTAAAATCTCTGACTAGAACAACTTTTTAGCACTTTTTAATTGAAAAATCAGTTTTGTTTTGGACACAAAACCGTGGTTTCCGTAAAATCATAATTCAAATTTGTTTCAAAGTTTTAATGAAAATAAAAATGTTTCATATGATTATGATGTTGTTGAACCTGATTACGATGATGAACATGATGATAGTGATGATGATGATGGTGGTAATGATGGTGATGATGATGGTGGTGATGATGACAATTGCTAAAATTTCATGGCAATCGGTATTGAACTGATGGTAAGCAGATGCTCTCGTGTAATTCATCATCGTCGTCGTCATCATCAAAGTCATCAAAATCATTGTCATCATCATCATCATCGTCATCATCATCACCATCGTCGTATTGTGTTGTACTGTATTGTAATATACTCATAAACATGTTGTATGACGTACTGCGGAAAGAGAGAGAGAGAGAGAGAGAAGAGAAAAAGAGAGAGAGAAAGAAAGAAAGAGAGAAAAAGAGAAAATTAAATGACTATGAAACATATCGTAAGAGAGATAACACTGCGTTATATAGCGGTAAAGCAAAGAGGAAAAAATGAATGTATATTAATTACATTAATATGGCGCCCTATGTTAAGCTTCTCTAATTGAAGATCAAATGTGGAGTCGAATCTGGTCACTGAAACGCAAGACCAGACTTCAACTCTAACAATAACTTCATTTAATTCTCGCGTCTAATCTATTTACGAAACATATAACGTATCATAGCACCAAATATACAACACAATACAATCATCTTCAAGGAAATACATACAAAGATTTGAATATATTTATAAAACAAACAAACTAAAACGATACAAAACAAACAGACAGACCTACAAACAAACAAACAAATAAACAAACAAAACGTGCAATGTTACAGCAATCTTAACGTAACAAATTAAGAGTGATGACCACACACACGTCCTCAAAGATGACACCTTCCGATTTTTGTTTGTCTTTGCTCGTCTCGTTCAGAAGAAAATTATCGTCAGATAAAAAATAATAATAAATTAATTAATTAAAATAATAAATTAATAAACTTATTAAATAGTTCAATTAAATCGACAAATTAATAAAAAAAAAATCTAAGATGAAATTCCCTTATAAAAACAGATCCAAGTCAGAAAACCAGGAACTAGTTGCCAACGAAGTTAAAAAAAAGAAAACGAATCTTTAGATATTTTAGATAATTTTTAGAAAACCAACAAGAAAAACTAGATGGAAAATTCAAAAAAGACTAAAAATTATGAGAAAAAGAGAGAGAGAGAGAGAGAGAGAGAGAGAGAGAGAGCGAGAGAGAAAGAGAGGGAGGGCGAGAGAGAAAGAGAGGGAGGGCGAGAGAGAAAGAGAGGGCATGAATTTTTTATAACCCATTGTGATTTATTGCATAGTCAACAAGTTGAGCCATTCTGCCGAGCACTTTGTTGCAACATCTCGGCAGCTCAGCCGGATGAGAAAATGTTGAAGATGGTGATGATGATGATTGTGGCTAAGATGATGATAATGATAATGATGATTGTGGCTAAGATGATGACGATGATGACGATGACGATGATGATGATGGTGATGATGATAATGTTGATGATGATGGTGGAATCAGTGAAAAAGAAGATGATGATGATGATGTTGATGACGATGATGATGATGATAGAATCTGTGAACATAATCACGATAATGATGAGAATAAAATGAGTTATTCAAAGACTCTTTTTTGACAACGACTTTTATGATGGTAGCTGTGATGTGATCATTGTTGCAATGATGACTGGAGTGACGACGATGATGAAAATGATATAAAATTCGAAATAAGAAAATAAAAAGACAAAGGAAGAGGTAGAAAAATGATTTCATCTTCTTAATTTGAAGAAAATATCAAAAATATCAATCAATTTGTTATAAAAAAAAGCTCGATCAATCCTCAAGCCAGAGATCAACAGATGTTACAAACTTTGAAAAAAACAACGTTATATCAGCACATGTAAGCTCGTATTATACGATGAAGATGAAGATGTTGATTATGACACACAAACATTTCTATACCAAAACACATTCTTCATACATACATTCTTCTTAATGCACACACGCACACACGCACACGCATACATATATTATAAATCTACATTACATATACACAATCATATGTTTGAAGCTGACGAATATAGATGTGTGTACATTATTTTGTTCTATTGATTTCTTTGCTGTTAATCAATAATCTGAATGTTGCAGGCCTTGATGATGATGATGAAGATGAAGATGATGCCGGTGGTGATAGTGATAGGAAAGATGATGATAATGATGCTGATTACTATGATGATGATGATCATCATCATCATTTTGAGTTGCTATGCAAATTAATTATTATTTTAAAGGATATTAAATTATTACGAAACGAACATAACATAAAAGCAAGAAAGCCGAAGAAGTACATGGCGATAACGATGGTGATGAAGATGATGACGATGATGATGGTAGTGATGATGATGACGAGAATGATGGTGGTGATGATAGTGATGATGATAGTAATGATGATGTTCTTGATAATGATAAAGTGAACTAGATCTAACTGATGTTAAATGATAACAACAGATTAAATATTACCCAATAATAATAACAACAAAAAGAAACTAATAAACAAAATACATAATAATAATAATAATAATAATGATGATGATGATAATGATGATGATGATGATAATGATAATAATAATAATAATAATAAGAGATAGACAGATGGGACAATTTGAAAAGCAATGCTTGATCAAAACGGAAAAGAAAAAAAACAGCTAAACAAACATTTACAATGTGAGAATAAATAATGATGAAGACGATGGTGGAG